ACACTATTATAATTACTTTGTGTAGAGAGAGAGAGAGAGAGAGAGAGAGAGCTTTATTTATGATTTTAGACTTTTCTGAACTAGGTATTAAGGGCTTGAGATTGAGATTAATCTCCTTCACAAAAAGATTCTAGTATTTGCTCTTCATGAAAACATTTTCCAGCGAGAACTTGGAGAAGAACCAAGACAATCCAGAGTCGCTTCTATCCCTGCAGCATTACAAAAGTTTAACAAGATAGTGGAGTTCTTACTTGCTCAGCTGAGTCTTGGGCTCCTTGAGCTCCACCTAGAAACAAACTCAGACAAAAGAAGGAAGGGGGAATGTGTACCTTTGAAGACGAATTTTCCAGCTCTTTGGAGGCGGGGGCGGCATCAGTGGAGTAGCCCTGGCGCTGCTTGTGCCTGGGATTCACCTTGCACACAATGTAGACGCGGCGGCCTCGCTGGACCGCGTAGCAGTGCTCGCACAGCTTCTTCACAGCCGATCGCACCTTCATCCCTAAACCCTAGCCCTAAAATGGAAGAAGTTTCTTTTTAGGTCTGGGCGGGGGAGGCTCAGGAGAGAGATCACGATGCTGCGAGAATGACAAAGAAATTGAGGATCGTATTTGGCGTTCTGGGTGAGATCTTCGGCGGGCGCAACTACATTCCCTCTGATCGAAAGGGTTTTTTTTCTTTTGTCTCCACAGGCAACATCACTACGATTCTCTCCAGTTTAGCCCCAATGTAAAGCGTTTATGCTTATGTCCTTTTACCTTGGTTGGTTTTTTCTAGACCCACATTCTACCGGATTTACAAGAGGAAGGACACTGAGAATTTCTCAGTGCTCCCATATATAACCACGATCTTGTGCAATTTATTCTGGGCTTGGTATGCATTGCCATTCATCACGAGCCAGAACCTTCTCCTCTTTATTATCAGTGCGATTCAGGTGGTGTTGCAATCCATCTACGTTATCATGTTCTTCATTTACGCTCCACCTGAAAGAAAGGTACTCTCCAATTTTATTCCTCAATTTGATTTGGTGATGTTTTTCTCTTTTCCTTCTTTGCTCCCTCCATTTGTTTTTTCCAGTCGAGGACAACAGTAATGGTTGTCACGACCGTCATCCTCTTCGCCATGGATATAATTATAACAATGGCATTTCTTCGGCAGAGCAAGAGAGAAACTTTTGCCGGCGTGATTGCCACTATTTCTTCCATTCTGGCTTATGCCGCTCCCTTGTCTATCATGGTCCGTCATGTTCTTTTCTACGTTTTCTTTACTCAAAAACACGATTTCTCGGCAGGGCCTTGTAATCAGAACCAGGAGCGTCGAATACATGCCGTTCCTCCTCTCCCTGGCCATCTTTTGCAGCGGTTTTACGTGGACTGTCTATGGTATACTTGGACCCGACATCTTTGTCATTGTAAGTTGATCCAAAAGCTCTTGAGCTCCCGGTAAAAAAAACTCGCAAGGTAGATACACGTTGTTTTGCTTTCCACGGTGCCTCAATAATGGAACTGGCCTTTCTTTTCTTTATCGTACTCTGCAGATATCGGATGGGCTTGGCTTCCTGCTCTCCACGCTGCAGCTCATTCTGTACGCAGTGTATTATCGCCCCCCTGTGCAACAAGTGGCTTACGGGAGCGTCAAGAACTTGCCCGAGGAGCTGGAATCGGACCAACACCTGGTGGCCAGCTCCACACAGGCGGACGAGATCGAGCTGGAAAAGAGGTGGCACACTCGAAGCGAAGGCGGCCAAAACTCCAACCAAGGAGCGTCTCCTCCTGTTCCTCCTCCATCTCGGCCCTTGGAATCCATCAAGCTATCGCAGTCCGTCGTCCTGTACGACGACCCTCGGCTTCCGAACTAAGAAAGCAAAAGAGAAAACAGAGAACGAGACGCAGAGTGTCGGACAAGCAAGCATGGAAAGGTATGAAACTTGTCTTTCCGGCTCCTTTTTGACGTATTGACAAGGCCCTTTACAGGACTGGACAGTTTCCATCGGGACAGAGCGAAGAGATAAGCAAACGCTACGGTCTTGCGGGGACAGAAACGAGAAAAGACTCTGTTACGAGCCGGCTCGTCTCTTGCAACTGAAACGACAGTGCACAAGCCTTTCGATTCTTTCTTCCGTCTGTCCGTCCAGGCCGTGAATGACAGACTGATCAGTGAGGTATTTCTCTTTTCATCTTTTCCTTCCAGGACTACTCGAGCGGGGCATCCATTTTCTATCCTCCCTTGCATTATGTGGGGTGGCGTGCTGTTTGTGGTCATTTCTCCGGAAAGGAAAGGCTGGATGGAGATTTGTGACAAAGCGAAGTCGACGCGAAATTTTTTTCAAACTTCGATGGTCCTTGAATGGGAAGTGGTGGATGATTCTTTTTCCGCTGCAATGACTTTTCCTGATTTGATAATTTGGTGCGCTGTTCAAATCACAGCGGCCTCCGTTCCAGTAAAAATCTCTATTGTGGTGTTTTTTCTTTCTAGTCAAGGAAATCCCGCTGCTCCTTTTGTACAAGTTTGTTTTTCCCGCAGCTTTAAGAAAATGTGGATGGAGTTTAAAGGCTTTGAGAATCTTGGCTAGACCCACCATGCTTGATCAACAACAATACTGTTACTATTGATGTTATTATTAGACGAGAGATATCTGTGAAGCTTCTCTTGTAACTACGTCTCAATGACAGTAGTGTTAACATTGATATTATTATTAGATGAGAAAGCTTGAGATCTCCATTCAGTGGTTTCTTTTTTAGTTCCACCACCACCCTACAACACTGAGATACAAACTTTGCAAGGATTGCCATAGAGGATCCAGCATTTCCTTCCACAATGATTGTAGCTGCTAGATAGTGCTTAAGGTCCCTTCCACTTCTTTTTCATTTCTTTTTTCTTGAAAAAAGAAAAATTTGAAGCTTTTGCTTTTTCTCTTCAGTTTTCTTGGAGGAAAGAAGATTTTCTAGCAGAATGTGGGTGCCGCATTGTGTGCTGTTGTACTCACAGCCCACCACACCACTCAACTCAAGGAGTGGGAAGAGATTCTGTTCCTTTCGAGTCAGCTACAACAGCACTCACAAGAAAAAAGAGCCGAAACAAGAACAAAATTAAAAATTAAAAATAAAGAAGTATTTGAAGATTTTACAAACACTTGTATCTGAGAAATTGATGTGGGGTCAAAGGGAATGCAACTACAGACAAAATTTAATCAATTAAAAAACAAATGAAAAAGGTGAGCGAACCTTTTTTTTTTATGTTTTTTTTTTTTAACATCGTGGTTCCAAAAGTCAGTTGCTAGAAAGCGGTCCGGGGAAAAAGAAGAAAATGATCCAATCTACAGAAAGTCAAAGGTTTTGTAACCATTTTCTCGACACGCCATCTGCCTCTCATGATTTTCCGGCTTATTCAAGTCTAGCAAAATCAAGACAATATCAAGGCAAAGGTCGAAAATTCCCCCGCAATAACAAGAATCTTCCTTTGGTTTCCAGGTCCCACAACACGAGAAAAAGATGAAATTTTTTATTATGGATTTAACCCCCCTTTTCCCCCTTTTATTCCACCTTTTTTTTTCTTTGCCCCAAGGAACATGCCCAAGAGCGGTCCCGTCTCAAGGCACCAACCAAAGGGCCTGTCTCCAAAAAGACGGGCGTGCTTTGTTCGTCCTCCCGACCTGTCTCGCCATCGCTTTCCTCCGTACGTGGGTGGCAAAGCGTACGGAACGCGTCTTTGCCTACCTGGCCATTTGTGCTTTAGGATTTGGCCCCGCCACGCATTGGCCGGTGAAAACAGCGATGGCCAGGCGCCCGGATGGATGTTTTAAGACAACTTGAAAACAACAATAGTTCATAACTTGTCAACCTCCATCTGGTTAGTCTTGATTTGATCAGCTGGTCGTCATGGTAACTGATGTCAAGTAGTAGATCATCACTGCAAATTGTTTAAACTTGGAGAGCGATGGTTTCTGTCACGGAAGGAAACAATTCCAGAATGGAGCAGTAGCATCACACTGACATGTTTCCTTCTAGCTAATATGTTAGAATTCTAGTGTCGAATGGAACGTGGGGACTGGCGAATATAAAAACCTTGCAAGTCCTCGTGTATGGCAAGTGATAGAAACAAATCCAAAGCGTCGTCGGTGGTGGGGGTGGTGGTGGTAGCAATGGTGGTGCTATCAAGAAACAAACGCACAGACTAGGTGAATTTGTCTTCCTCCAACTCGTTTGACTCGCCTCCCTTCCCTTTTATCTTTGTAAGAGAATCAAATTCTCTCTTTTTTCTTCTTCCATAAAGGAATTGTGTGGAAAGTTTTGACTACACAAAGGAAAAAGTGTGAAATTCACCAAGGTCAAGAGACCTAGCTATGTGATTGTGATAAAGAGAATTTCTTTGATCGTTCCAAGTGTTGCATTATTGCTTGCATTTTTACCAGGTGGCTTCTTGACTGACCAGGGGTCTTGAGCACCAATTCCCTAGGCAAGAACAAAGTGTGGCTATATGATTCTACTGTCGCACCACTATCACTGTTTTCCAGATCCTTTCTTTGACTCTCTTGACCAACTTTCAAGGCTTGAGTGTGGATTTTCGCGTGACTTCTGGCTTGCTGCAGAAGATGCAACGTGCAGCCGTTCAGATTGGAGTGGAATCAAGTGTGCTGACCAGATTTCATGTGGTCTTCCAAGCTTGTGAGGCCTCCCCGCAAGACAAGCGATCGCGTACTTGGTTCCGTGCTTGAGCTAGCACTAGAAACTCCAGAAGTTTATCCACAGTCCCTTCTTTTTAGGAGCTAAAAAGAATACGAAGAAGAAACACTGACACCCCACTACGCTACAACATAACATAATATGAGTGTCTAGAGTAGTTTGTCTTTTAGGTCTCCATAGGAATCAAAGTTCGGTCCAGTCGCGTCCTAGGCGTGGTCAAACCGGTGATAGATAGATTCCTTTTAAGTTTTTTCAATCCAAGGAGGAGGCACTAAAAGACACACAGTTTGAGTTACAAAATCTCTAGTATTGCAAAACAATCCAAATTGCTGAGCAGCTAAAACACCCTTATAAGTGATTTCATTACTAACAAGTGGCCCTTCTCTTGTGGATTCTTGGAAGTTTTGCAGCCGACACGACGAGTCCCAAAACATTTTGTCGGTGTAGAAAGCCGAGTGTCGTGTTGCAAAGATCCTTGTCGCTGTGCTCTCGACTTTTAAGGCGTTTTAGGCGGGATGCTTAACAAGGATTTTAGGAATAGCAGGCGGGCAGCAGCTAGTAGCAGTCTCAACTGGACTCGTTTGACTCTTTCATGTCTTTAGATTTGAGATTAAGAACGCAACAACAAAGTTTGTGCCTGGTTTGTCACCTTGTGGGTAGTAATCAAGCAACAAGCAAAAAAACAAGACCAAGCAAGCAAGATCCTGGTAAGCAATCGTTGAGGGAGAAAGGTGGCGACCCGAAACTGTTAGCTTATTTTTGTTGTTAGCACTATCTAGTGCTAAAGTGGACCACAGCACAAACCAAAATTCTTTTCGTTTTGATTTCGAGACATGATATTGTGCATTGTTCGCTTTGTGTTGCAGCCACACCCTTCCCATCTCAAGATTTACATGCCGGCTCTGCCTTTTGGACAGCAACAATAATATTGTATGGAATTTTGGCTTGCATTCTTGAATTCTGGTCATGTTTTGGGTTGGGCAATGTACGCAAGGATGTGAGTGTGTGGCCCTCACACGCAGGCATATAAACTCTCCCTGATGTGGCTGGGGTGGCAGCAGCAGAAACACAAAAGATTGCAGTGTGCTGTTCTCCTATTGGGTGATAAAATACAGCAAAAAAGATCGAAAAAAAAAGGAAAAGAGAGCATAGCAATTGGCTGGTTCCATCTAGAAGCAGCAGGCCAGGAGGAAGGGCAGTCCTTTTGATTTGCATTTGCCTCCCTTGTCCTCTTCTTTCTCTACATTTTGCCCTCTCTCCTATCACTCTTTCCTGGCTGTGCTACATGCCTTGCCTTGGCAGCACAGTGGGGAACCCACCACCCCACTCATCATTCACCACCAATTGTCTTGCATGCTATCCATCTCTATCTGTTTGCTAGCCACTAAGCTAACAGCTTAAGCCTCACTGATCATATGATTTGATCTTGATCTCTATCCAATCTTTGTTACAAAGGTTCAGAGCTGAAGCTGGCTGGTGAATTCCACACACGTCAGGAGAGAAGGCCAAAGTACACACAAGGCTTTCTTTGTTTTGCAGTAGCTCCACTTCCATCCAATGGGAGCCCCCACCTCCCATACGAGGAGCAAAGAACTCGTGACGACTATACAGCCCACCTAAGCAGCACTTCCTTCTTCTTGTGTTCGGTTGGCAGAAAAGAAAGCAAGGCACGAACTTTAGGAGAAAAGAATGATACCTTTGGGCATATACATCCATATATCAAATGCCAAACAAATACAAGTGGCAATCTAACCGATCACCACCACCATTCAGTGTCTAGAAAGAAATAAACAGATTCCAGAATTTTAAAAGGGTTCCTGTTTTCCCCTCCTCTTACACCAATGATCACCAGGAAAAACAAAAAAACATTAAAATTAAAAAAAAAATGCAAAGAAGAAAAGAAAAGAAAAGGACTTGAAAATAATGTAGCTAGCCTTCTTATGGCTGCTGCTGATCAATCTTACTGCAATTTGCATTGTGACTTGTGCTGGGCCAACTTCTCTGGAACCACATACCAAACCGACCTAATCTCGTTTATCAATTTTCTTGCTTGTTGCAAAGTATTGCTGTAGCCGCTGGAGAGCACTGGTGCTGATGCGAACTCTTTGCTGTTGGTAGTGGTGGTGTGGTGGTGCTGCTACTGCTGCCACTGTAGGTGTAGCTCCCGCACACGAAAAACAAGAAAAGAAGCTGCTCTCGCTCTTTTGTGTAATCCACACCAGTTAGCTAAACTTAAAGCCGCAACTTTTCTGGATGGCGACACCGAGACCAAGAGGCTCGCTTCTTGCCTCTCACTGCACGCACAAAAAAAACCAGTCACCCTGTGCACGCACATACCCATCCAACCACATCCATGACTCAAAGAGAGCCTTCCACCACCTTTTGCATGACGCAGATTCGACGACACAAGTGTTCTTGCAGCAGCCAGCCGGCCAACCAGCCTCCCCCGCCATTACCGGTTTTAGTATCTAGATCTGATCCCCTCTTGTCCCTGTCCGCCTCCTTCAAGTAGCTGCTGCTGTTGCCGCTGCTGCCGCAGTAGTTTCCTGCTGGTGCTGCTGTTGATAATGATGTTGTTGATGATGATATGGTTGACGAAGATGATTATGATGATGATGAGCAACAGTAGCAGCTGGAGCAGCGGCAGGAGGGGGAGGAGGAAGAAGGGGAGGAAGCTTGTCTCCGTGCTCCCTTTCACTTTCCACCAGGGGCATCACCTTCACCGATATGACGGCCGCCTCGTCTTCATCAACTCTAAAAGTCGTCTCATGGTGGCGATGATCCACTGCCTTGCAAACATTGCTGTTGCTGCTGCTGCTGT